CATGTGACACTCTCTCATGATATTTATACCAAACACTTTTGTTACCCAGCGGTCCTTGACCGGAATACCTAAGTTCTTGGAATATCCCGCAAAATATTCTTCTGAAATATCTAAGTATTGAACTAGCCGTTTAGGTCGAACTGAGTGCTCGACCTTGGTCGTAACTGAATCACTCGCCGGTATATTACTTCCTATGCTTGACCTCGACTTAATTGACTCTTGGTCGTTCTTCCTTAAGTAGAATTCTTTGGTTCAGATTTTGACCTATACAGACCTCTGTCTGAAATTCTCTACACAGAACTTAAAAGGAGTTGCAAGAGTGCAATAATCAGAAGAGAGAGTAGTCGTCAACCTAAAAGATAACCATGTCCAACCTTTGATCTTTAGCCGTTGGATCATTGAGGCCATTGATTCGACATCTGAATTAGAATAATTTTAAGAGAAATTTTCATAAAGCACTATCTTTTAATAGTAATTAGCCATCTATAGATACCATTTGCTATATTACGGATTATAGATACCTTTTATGTGGTTATAAGATGTATTTGATGTATTTAAGCTATTGTATTCATGAATACAGTAGCAAAAATAGGCGTGAATCAGGGAAGTCTAGCTAATCAGTTGTTGTATTCGACTGTATTCATATAGTGAAACATGGTATTACAGCTGGACAGATTATTATATTCGACTGTATTCACGGCGTGAAACATGTGATTACACTGTTTTTAAAACGGAAAGTGAATCAATTAACATAATAGACTCCTAATATAACTCAACAAACTCAATTATAGCACACAAATTTTTTATTTTCAGTTATAAAAATGATTCTCAATCGAAAAAGACCCAAAAACATAGCAATCTTCAGAGAAATTATATAATACATCTGAATACATAAATTATATTAATTAAAAAATTATATGAATACATTCATGGCATATAGTGAGACAGTGAATACAATGAAATACATAGAATACAACGCGATGCATTGAAATACAATGAAAAAATAGTGAATACAATGAAATACATGGAATACAACGAGATACATTGAATTCAATGAAAAAAAAGACAATGAATACAATGAAATACATTGAAATATATTAACAAAAAATAAATTGCTCAGCCCCAAACTCGCCGTCTTTGTTCTAGATAATGTATTATTGTACTGCTTGTTCACAGCTTGATATAGCTCCAAAGCAGGAAAAGTTTCGGTGACTTTCGGATCCAAAGCAAGCACATTACCACCATATTGACAATATCTCTCGAAATCTATATCAATTGAGACCACCATAGTCCAATGGTATTAGCAGAAATTTTCTGCACAAGTGTAAGTTCGACTCCAATTACCACCGAAACATAGCAAGTTTCGGTAAGTCAAAGCAAGCACGAAATTGTTCTAGGTCGTCGTCAGTGACGCTCTTCGATCGGCGACGATCGGTGAGCTTCGAGCGGTAATTTCCTTTTCGCTTGAGCCAGACTTCTTCTCGAAGCATATCGGGAGACCATGATTTCTACTTGAATAGCGGCGGTAGAGCTTCCCGTTCCGACATGGCGTCTGCAGAAAATTACACGCGCCACCGCATTGGAATGAAAAGCTTGATTGAGATTTTATGTAGATCGGACTGAAAAGAAAATAGTGTGGGTGACAGGAATTGGGAGAAGAATGGGATGTATCAAAGTAGAGAGAGAAAGAAAATAGTGTAACTAAATAGCGTATTTAGTGGCTTAGGGCTATGAGGTAACCAAAATTAAATATTTTGCTATAAATCTTCAAAGGTATCTATAGAATATAATTTTTTTAAATGATATTTATTTAAAATAAATAAGGTGTTAATCTTTTCTACAATAAAAATTCCTAATTTTAACCTAAAGTAAATGCGCAAAAAATCCCAACTCTGAACTAACTTCCAACAATCTCGTTATCAAATAAAATACTTGACCAACATGCTGAATTGAATGGACTCCATTAGTCATATCCACAAAAATTCAAGAAGTGGACTAAAACATATGACTGCTACCCTTTCAACATCATCCTCATAAAAAATACTTACTAAGAGAAGAAGAGTAGTGGAACATAGACTCAGAAAGGGTAAAAACTAAAAACATAATCAAAATCGATATTGTCTTTGATTGAAGCAATCCGATGTATAATACAAGAGGGCCTTACTTTAGTACAAAATTGCTAATATCCTTTTTTTTAACTACCTAATATAGAGTTATAGACCACTGCTCTGTACAATCCACTCCTAAGAAGGGGGAGAGAAAACAGAAAAATAAAAAGACTATGGACAAACCCATATAACCCAATTTTGTTGAAGGGTTGTCTGGAGTTTAATTAAATTAATTTGAAGTAATGTAAAATTCAATCATGCCAACAAAGGAGCATGACCACACATCTTTTGATTATGTAAAGCCTGGCCTTTTGCTGCCTAATAACTCCTCCGAGCCCTCTGCTTGAAATTAGCTTCCTCTTTGAACTTCCCAAATTGCTACTGCTCATCTTCATATTTTACTTAAATAGTGGTGACGAAAATCAAGAAACTAAAAGGGTGTCTGTATAGTAATTCTTGGTATACAAAAAGAGAGAGAACTTTGATTCTGTTGTTGGTTTTGTGCAGAGAATATATTGAAGAGAGAAGTTTGAATGGGGAAAGTGCAAGCCCAAGAAGAGGTTCTTATAGTGTTGAGAGAGAGTGTGGTCCGTCCTAATTTGTAATGGTCGAGTCAAGAACCAAATATAGGTCCCACTTTCCACTTGTAACCCACGGTCCCACCCCCAACAAGTGAATTAAAGTAGTATTACACCCATATATTATGTCGGCCCACCCGATTTCGTCATATAATAAGTGTAAAATATATAGAGAGAGGGTATTTTTCTTTTGTATGTTAACATCATGTCTCATCAATGTTTCGAAAGACAATAACAGAACTCGTCTAGACTCGTGCTAGTTTGAAACATTCTCACGAAACGATCGTGAAACAGTTTAATGAGAGGAATGCATCGATAGGCAAAACTTACGTTCATTCCATACATTATGTTTTTGTATTGGTGAAAATTTGACCGTCGCGGCCGACTCAATCGAGATCTCGTCCAAGCAGCAAGATAGTGGAAGTCGACATGATTTGTTCCAAACCCCGTACTCATAATAGCTGTCAAGTCAAAGAACCACAGTCAGAGGACGACGAAAGCGGACGTGGTATCAAAGTGCATTGACCCAAGAACATAGCAAGGATTCCACAACTATATATAGGGAGGAAACCTTCCTAAAAAATGGGGTTTTTCTCTCTCTCTTCTTTCCTCTCCTTTGTAATCTTCTTAACAAAAAGAAGACAAAGCAATCTTCCATTGATTATGTAAAACAATCATCTCCATCGATTAGTGAGAGAAGAAATGAAAAACCTCAATAAGATTGATCGCCTATATTTCATCTTATGCGTTATTTTCTGATTTGCTTATGAATCCGAAGTTTATTATGTTTGACTAAGATTTACCTCTTCATCTTCTTTAATTGATTTAATCAAAAAGGTTTAACTATCTTTTGGTCAAACAATTTCGCGCCGTCTGTGGGGATCTCTTAGTAAAAACTTCCTAGTCTCCTCCAGATCAAAAATCGGAAACATGATCACCCACTGAAACGAACAGTAAGTAAACCTCACACGCCAACCTAGATCATGATGCTATATACAAGCAAAAGTTGCAACCAACATCCTCCTCCGCACGTCGGACAGCCCATGAACTAGCCAAAACGAGCCTAGCCCGCACAGGACAAAGGCACAAAAAAGGAAGGGAAAGAGAGTTGAATACGGTTACCTAATTCAGAAAACACCACCCCCATCAACCATTGAAATGCCAAGCAAAGCGAGCAATGCCACAGATCTACCTTCATTCACCAACTCATCGGATAAGGATAAGGAGAATATCATCCTGGCCCACCTTCTGCTGTTTGCTTAAGCAAGAACGCAAGCACCGCGCGTACGAGCGAGCAAGGAGACATCCCAACTGAAGAATGAGAAATTACTACAAAACAACCGAAATATCGTCCACAAAACAAACCTAACTCCTAGAAAATGATACCCCTTAAGTGATACCCCCTCTCCCTCACCAAGAAGGTATCCCAAGAGAGCCCCCCCCCCTCGGGGGAGTTAAAGACCGGGCCGATGAGGGGGAACTCCCCGAGGTCAAAGTGTAATTCAACGCCCCACCCACCAATAACACCTCTAGACCAGAAAACGAAAAGGTAAGACAGAGAAACTCCAATATGTGCGTAAAACGAGTGTGATCAAAGCACTAGCATGTTCTGCTCTCCGACATCACACTCCCCAACGCAAATAAAATCAGGCGAATTGGGACTCCCCCAAAAGATACCCAACTCTCCGAAAAACCGGGACTCGCAACAGGTTAATATTTCGACGAAAGTTCGAAATAATACCCTCAAGGCCAAGGGCCTTCGTCAAAAAGAAGGGTTCGACCTCAATCGAACCACGACGGGTTTATATTTCGATGAAAGTTTGAAATAACACCCTCAAGACCAAGGGCCTTCTCTAAAAAGAAGAGTTCGACTTCGATCGAATAACGACAGGTTACTATTTCGATGAAAGTTCGAAATAACACCCTCAAGGCCAAGGGCCTTCGCCAAAAAGAAGAGTTCGACCTCGATCGAACCACGATGGGTTAATATTTCGATGAAAGTTTGAAATAGCACCCTCAAGGCCAAGGGCCTTCGCCAAAAAGAAGAGTTCACTTTGATCGAACAACCACCAATTACTATTTCGACGAAAGTTGGAAATAACACCCTCAAGGCCAAGGGCCTTCGCCAAAAAGAAGAGTTCGACCTCGATCGAACCACGACGGGTTAATATTTCGATGAAAGTTTGAAATAGCACCCTCAAGGCCAAGGGCCTTCGCCAAAAAGAAGAGTTCACTTTGATCGAACAACCACCAATTACTATTTCGACGAAAGTTCGAAATAACACCCTCAAGGCCAAGGGCCTTCGCCAAAAAAAAGAGTCTGACTTCGATCGAACAACGACGGGTTACTATTTCGATGAAAGTTTGAAATAACACCCACAAAGTCAAGGGCCTTTGCCAAAAAGAAGAGTTCGACCTCGACCGAACCACCATGGGTTAATATTTCGACGAAAGTTCGAAATAACACCCTCAAGGCCAAGGACCTTCACCAAAAAGAAGAGCTCGACTTCGATCGAACAACGACCAGTTACTATTTCGACGAAAGTTTGAAATAACACACTCAAGGACAAGGGCCTTTGCCAAAAAGAAGAGTTCGACTTTGATCTAACAACAACAGGCTACTATTTCGACGAGAGTTCAAAATAATACCCTTAAGGCCAAGGGCCTTCGCCAAAAGAAGAGTTCGACCTCGATCGAACCATGACGGGTTAATATTTCGATGAAAGTTCAAAATAACACCCTCAAGGCCAAGGGCCTTCGCCCAAAAAAAGAGTTCAACTTCGATCGAACAACGAAGGGTTATTATTTCACGAAAGTTCGAAATAACACCCCCAAGGACAAGGGCCTTCGCCAAAAAAAAGAGTTCGACTTCGATCGAACAACGACGGGTTACTATTTCGACGAAAGTTCGAAATAACACCCTCAAAGCCAAGGGCCTTTGCCAAAAAGAAGAGTTCGACCTCGAACGAACCACCATGGGTTAATATTTCAACGAAAGTTCGAAATAACACCCTCAAGGTCAAGGGCCTTCACCAAAAAGAAGAGTTCAACTTCGATCAAACAACGGCCAGTTACTATTTCGGTGAAAGTTTGAAATAACACACTCAAGGCCAAGGGCCTTTGCCAAAAAGAAGAGTTCGACTTCGATCGAACAACGACATGCTACTATTTCGACAAGAGTTCGAAATAATACCCTTAAGGCCAAGGACCTTCGCCAAAAAGAAGAGTTCGACCTCGATTGAACCATGACGGGTTAATATTTCGATGAAAGTTCGAAATAACACCCTCAAGGACAATGGCCTTCACCAAAAAGAAGAGTTCGACTTCGATTGAACAACGAAGGGTTATTATTTCGACGAAAGTTCGAAATAACACCCTCAAGGCCAAAGGTCTTCACCAAAAAGAAGAGTTCGACCTCGATCGAACCACGACGGGTTAATATTCGACGAAAGTTCGAAATAACACCCTCAAGGACAAGGGCCTTCACCAAAAAGAAGAGTTCGACTTCGATTGAACAACGACCAGTTATTATTTCGACGAAAGTTCGAAATAACACACTCAAGGCCAAGGGCCTTCACCAAAAGAAGAGTTTGACCTCGATCGAACAATGACCGGTTACTATTTCGACGAAAGTTCGAAATAACACACTTAAGGCCAAGGGCCTTCGCCAAAAAGAAGAGGTCAACTTTGATCAAACAATGACGAGCTACTATTCCGATGAGAGTTCAAAATAAAACCCTTAAGGCCAAGGGCCTTCGCCAAAAAGAAGAGTTCTACCTCGATCGAACAACGACAGGTTAATATTTTGACGAAGGTTCGAAATAACACCCTCAAGGCCAAGGGCCTTCACTAGAAAAGAAGAGTTCGACCTCGATCGAACAACGACGGGTTAATATTTCGACAAAAGTTCAAAATAATACCCTTAAGGCCAAGGGCCTTCATCGAAGAAAAAGTTTGAAATATCCTAGGGGCCAAAGGCCATCGCCAAAGAAAACTGGGACTCACGATGGGATAATACTTCGATATAAGCTCAAAAGTAACATCCCTACGGCTAAGGTCGCTATTAGAAAAAGAGTTCTATACCATTCGGACTATGATGGGATAACACCTCAACAAAAGTCCGAAAGCACCGTCCCGTCATTTAAAGCCGTCATCAAGGCTCTACTCAACCTGTGTGACATTAAATTCCCTAAGAGTCGGGAACTCATCACACGGAAATCTACTTCTTTGCATCAAAGTTATGAATAGCAAAATAGGAAAAGAAGTATAGGAGGAATATAACAATGGAATATTCCTCTTTATACAAAGCTACTGTGCAAACAGCCGCAGATTACATACGGCTAGAGCCAACAAAGTCCAAGAAAAAACAATAAACAATAAAAAAACAAATAGACAAGACAACAATTCTTTCACTCGGCACCATCACCGCCACCCTCTTCACCACCATCTCCAGGAAATCTTCCCTTATCGTCCGTGCCCTCATCAGCTTCCGGCGTTGCAGAGTCATATCCACAGTTAACACGAGCCTCTCGTGCCTTACCCATGATCCTTCATATGTGGCCTCGGTAACATTCCCCGCCCCCCACAAACTCTTATATATGTCTCGTTGGGCTTTAGCATGAACCCAAAGCTCGTGCAAATGACGGGGAATAGCGGCGGAGGAAGATTCGACTTAAGCCAACAGTTGTTCCTTTTCGACCTCAAGAGCAGTGATCCAGTCCCCAAAGGTCGATGCCTCCCGGTCGATCTCTTCAATGCGTTCCTAGAGCCTCGCCTCCCTTAGCGTGGCCGTCGCCTCTCTGATTCATGCAACCGAAGAGGAAGCACGACCAGGCATCGATGACGAAGGTCTGTTCAAAATAGTAACAGCGACCTCAGGAGTCTGACCCCCCGTCGCGGCAAGTTGTTGATCAATCATAGCGGCAAGGATCTCCGTCGATGGGACAGACGCAATGGCTGGCTCT